CCCTCGTCGTCTCCTTCTGCTAGGGAGGGCAGAGCGGATTGTATAACATTTTTCCCCCTAGTGTGCCATTTGTGGCGCGTCGTTGTAACTTTCACATTTTTCGATCTTAATACAAAGATACGCAAACCTTTTGCGTATTCGAGAGAAAAAAAAGAAATGTAGCCAACAAGGAGTCTATCATGCTTCAATCCAACTTGTTGACGTAGTCTATCATGAGTTCACAGTTCGATTAGATGACTCCAACCCTTTCATTATTTACACAAATTATATGCATATGACAAATGTGGTAATATATGTGGTTCAATCATTTCAATAGAAAATGAGACTCTGAGGAGTAAGACGATGATAGTGGACTGTCTTGTTTGTCAAACCAAACACCCCCTAGCTAACCCACCCCGCCCCCCACACCCATAAATTTTAAATTCCATAATAGCTAATATTTTTTCATTTAAATAAACATTTGTTGTACTATGGAGGATCCCAAGATTCAAGGTTAAACGCGAGTTAACATCTCAACTACCTGTGCTAAGTGCTAACCTAAGCTTCATAGTAAAAATTCGCTGCTTTATGTACAAGTTGCATAATCTATATGTGTACCTAATAATAAAGATGCAAAATTTCAGGCCATTTTTTTGTCCATCCATTTTTTGGTCCGTCTTCCTCTAACTACTGCACAATAGAGAGTTTCTTCCGTCCGATCTTATATATATAATAACCCGTGCTCATACGAGTTCGAATAACTCGTCTAGCGTGATACGAAGTCGGATAGATAGGAATTCTGATCCAAATAGCAATCATCAATCTTAATAGAAATCCTAAACTAAATAGAAAAGGATGTATCTGTATCTTTCTTTTACATATTTTACCTATGCCTTTCCGGAGCGTGGAAGAGGGGAAAAAAGACCTGTAGTTGGCAGCCACGCTTTGGGAAAAAAGGACTAAAGATACGGCCTAATCAGATGAGATCATGATAGGGAAAAAACAGAAAAAAAAAAGTGAAAAGGTCACGCAAGCCAGAGCTCTGGCCGATCACGGTAACAAGAACAGCCGAAAAAAAAAAGGTTCGAACTCTACTCCACCCGGCACTGAAGCTCACCAAAAAAAATTTCCCTCAAAACTTGCGGCAGCCATAACTTCGAGAGCCATATTTCCGTATCACTATTCCAAGATAGCGTCAACGAGCCAGACCACGTCTCCATGGAAACGGATAGAAGCAGCAGCCATGGGTAAGTTTTATCACGTATAATCAATCAAGCAAAACAATTTCACGTGCGAATCCTATCATATAAATTTGATAAAACTGATCAAATACACATAAAACAAATCTACAGATCAGATCGATTCGAACAAAAAGTATAATATTTCTTCAACGGTCCACGCTGCGTAGCCGATTCAAACCATAAAACAAAGATGAAAACCATTTCCCAACTAACCAAAATCAACCATGCACGTGTGACGTGTCTTGCATCCTCCAGCATGCGCATAAGCAGTCACGTTCCTCCTGCACGCCTCACATATGTTCCTCCCCAGCTGCTCAGGATGGTGAGAGAGAAAGGAGAGAAACAAAAGGTGTTCACAGTTGTGAGAGGATAAGAAATAAGGAGACATGGAAATTGTTGCCGCCTGCCAGCAGAGAAGCTACGAAAATATTTGTAGGTGGACGAGAAATAAGTGAAGTGAAAGAAAATTTAGGGTCCGCTAACCAATATCATGGACTGGTCATGGTCAGCTCAATGTCGTACTACCTTCTGTCTAAAAGATAAAAGAAATATAGTATATGTTTAGTAAGAGTAATATTATATGATAAGTTTAATTAAATGTATAAAACATGTATCGACATTTATTTCAAATTCTTCGGTCTTTTCTTTTTACTTCTTAGAATGTTCTCATGTCCTTGGTGTCTCTACTAAGGATGGCAGCGGATCGGGTTTGGGGCGGATATCCGTGGGTTTCGGGTTCTGCGGGTTCGGGTTTGGGGATGGTTTTTCACCCACGGTTTTCGGGTTCGGGGCCCCGAAACCAATCGGGTTCGGTTTCGGGTTTGGTTTTCCACCCGTGGATATCCAATGGATATCCGAAATAAATCATTTGGAATTAAAACTCATGTTTTATAATATACTAATAATAATTTGTTTACTTAGATTATTAAATTTATTTAAAGTTGACTCATGAAAATATTTATTATTTGTTGCCTCTTATTTATACATGTGAATATGTGTATATATATCCGCGGGTTTCGGGTATCCATTCGGGTTTCGGGTATCCGTTCGGGTTTCGGGTATCCGCGGGTTTGGTTTTGGTGATGGATTTCCACCCGAATCGGTTTTCGGGGCGGATTCGGGTTTTGATTTCGGGTTTCGGTTTTGGGTGCACGGAGACTCCACCCGATCCGAACCCGACCCATTGCCATCCTTAGTCTCTACATGATTGTAACTTGAGTTCGAACAACTCGCGTCTAGCGATACATAGTCCGATCTTAAGATGTTTCGGGTTCCATTGCAACGCACGGGCACGTTTGCTAGCAAGTTATAACAACTCATATCTAGCGATGATATAGAAGTCGACACCTATACGTATTGGATCCCGTTGCAACGCACGGGTATATTTGCTACTCCATCCGTCCCAAATTATAAGTCATTCCAAGAATCTTAGAGAGTTAAATAATCTTAAGTTTGACCAAATTTATATGATAATATAATAACATTTATGATGTCAACTAAGTATCATCGGATTCTTCATCAATTATATTTTCATAGCATACATATTCGATGTCATAAATTTTTATAATTTTATTTATAATTTTAGTAAACTTGAGATGCTTTAACTCTCCAAAATTCGGAATAACTTAATTTGAAATGGAGGGAGTAGTTCTATATATATATATATAACTACTACTCTATAGCTGATCACAAAATAACTTATGCTGTAGCTATTTTGAGTTTCGATAATTTTGGTTAGCATAATTTTCGTCTGGCCTATCCAGACGACATTATATCACCGATGAAATTATTCGACTTTCTCCGTCTCCCTCTCTTCCCCAAGACCGAGTCGGCTGCTTCACGATACAAGTCCCAAATACGATACAAATCCAAATCAGACTACCTCAACAAGGCAAGAACTCCTCAAATCCAACCAACGGCATTGCTGAGCCCGTGGGTCGTCGACGAGGCGGAGGCAGGGGCGTGACGAGGTCGTGGACGGCGGGATTCGGCGCGTCAGGTCGACTAGGGAAGCGGAACGGCGGAGCTCGGTCTGGCGTGGTCCCAGTCCGGGTGGCGCAGCCGGCGGAGTACGACGGCAAGGAGGTAGGTGTCCGGTGGTGAGGTTCGGCACCAGCTCCTGGTTGGCGTCGCGGGCGGTCTGCGGCGGCGTTCGGGGCCTGCGAGGCTGAGGAAGATGGCGCGGCGTCGTGGGCACATCCGAAGTCGCCGCGGCCGGTGTTGGAAGTAGTAGGCGTCTGCGAAAACGGCGGTGTGGTTCGGGGTAGGCATGGAGGTCGGCGATCGGAGCTCGGCTGTTCGGTAGTGTCCGCGCGGCGGCGTGGTTGCCTACGTCCCGTGCGCCGCGCGCATGGCTCACGCCCGCACCATGACGGCCGGCGCCGCCAGTGCGCGCTTAAGGAGACCCCGCCGCGCGGGCACGTCGCGCGGGCACGTGGGCAGCTGCCGTCCGCGTCAGCTGCCTCCGTTGCGGGCCTCGGGCTGCCGCCACCGTGCATAAGGACCCCCCGGAAAGGGCGCACAGCGGGAGCTCTCGACGGAGGTGCACATGACCAGTCGCATGCGCGCGCCGGCGAGATACACCACTGCAGCGCCGGCGGTGGATGCGGCTGTGCGTGGGAGAAGCAGGGGAGAGAGAGTGAGAAAACTGGGTTGATGCCGGCCTCGGGTGCTTTATATCCTGTTGTTTTTGGCTAGCAAAATCCTGGCCGTCCACCTCAATGATCCGACGGTTCACACCACTCCTGCATCAGGTTTTCAGCAAGGGAAGTGGGCTGGGCAAAAGTGGCCCGCACAGGCTGCGCGCGCGGCTCTAGCCGGGCCAAAAAGCAGGCCGGGAACCTGACCTGTGCTCTGGGCCAGTTTTTTTTTTACCTTAGGGCCGTTTTTTTTTCAATAACTGAATTAAGCTTTATTTTTTTTCCTGAATCCGTGAATGTATTTGATATTTTTTTCTCTCGTTGCAGGCAAAATTTCCATCTCTTTTTTTGTTCTCTTCTTTTGGTCTGTCATGGAATGAGTCGGCCACCTGCTTTCCCGTGTCCATTTTTGTTTATGTTTCTGTCATATGTCCGTTTTAGTTTTCTGTCATGTGATCCACATACATCGACGACGTCTTGAGGGTTCCAGGCATCCATCCAGAAAGCAAACCAAACCTCAAAGCTATAGGAGCTGTAGATTTGACTTCAGCAGGCCATCTACCTTACCACCAACGACGGTAACAACAACGTCGTCGGTAACGCCGCTGCCGTCCGCCCCTGGCTTCGGCCGTCGTCGCTAAGGCGACGAGGGGCTTCCAGGGTGTTCCACATCGACGGCTACTCGTGGACCAATAGTAAATATTTCTTTATTTTCTTTCATTTCTCACTTTGACCTCACTCACTTCGACTCGTTTCGCTTTGAGTATGGAGCCCAATTTTTGGTGACACCACCCACTTATAGTCTGTCTATCTAAGTCTGTTCCTGTTGCGACACGTGCAAGAGATGCGTGTAGCTTACTTTGCACATTTCTTAAACTCACAGTAATAGTGCACACAATAACCATATATTTAAGTTGAGGCGAACTCCTACTAATTTTTTACGCATAGTTTTCTATTGCTCTAACATTTGTTATGAACCTTGAAATTATTTGATCTCAGGTTAGGCAAGGCATCCAACAAAAAAATAGCTAGCTTATTATTATTGATATGAGTACCGTGCAATAAATTGTATAGTCCCGTTATAACGCACGGACATGTTTTGCTAGTATATCTAATTAGCATAGCATGCACGTATTGGTACCTTTGGAGATGCAGTAGAGCACGAGCCCAGGGTAACCCAGGTAGCTTGCGATGGAGGAGATATGGACGACGCTTCCTCCACCGGCGACGGACGCTCTGACGAGCAGAGGGTGCGCGAGCTGGCACAGATGGAAGCTTGACTCCAAGTTGGTCGCCATCACATGCGAGTAGTCCTCGGCAGTGCACTCCGCCGCGGGCTTGAAGAACACCTGCCCGGCGTTGTTCACCAGGATGTCGAGCTTGCCGTCGAAGGTCGCCTTGACCGTGTCCATGAGCTTCTCCCGGTCGGCCGGCACGGAGACGTCGCAGACGGAGACGGTGACGACGAGCCCCTTCTCCGCCCACCGGCGCCGGGACTCCTCAAGCTCTGCCGCGTTCCGCGAGCATGTGTGCACCCTCGCGCCGAACCCGGCCAGCTCTTCGACGACCCCGTTCCCGATCCCCTTGCTGCCGCCTGTGACCAGCGCCGTCGCGCCGACGAGGCTCCACCTCTCTTGCCTGCTCCCGCTAGCGGCCGCCATGAAAGCTAGCTACTATCTGATTTTCTTAAGTTTCAACCCAAGTATGCTTAGAGCATGCATGGGTGACTGATTCCTCTGTTATCAGTAGGCGGATGCTCAGACGCAGTATGATAGCACTAGCAATTAGAGGCATGCTAAATGCCAAGAACTAGCGACGATGACTGCGTAAACACCAAGAATATGAATATGCTATAATTGTTTATATACCTGACTTTTCCAAGGACTTCTCCAGTGGATAAAAGTATGATACTCTTTGGGGTGAAATATATACTTTCTAGAGTATGCTATAATTGTTTCCTCTCTCTACATAAAAACACCCCCAGACGAAGGATTATACTGAACCCATGGTACCGGGCCTATAGGCGGACGCTTTGGTTTTTTTAATCTTTTTCAAATCATATTATAAAAATAACTCCAAAATGTTTCTGTTTATATTTCAATTTTTTTTGGCCGCGCAAACCATATGATGTGGCAAAGCAAAATTACTCTACTGCGCCACAAGTTTTGGCAGTTGCAGTAGTGGTGCACAAGTTCAGGTAGGTTGTGGTTTTACGCGAAATAATCCAATGTAATAGTATTTTCTCACCAAAAAATTTGACTTGTACAAACTTTATGCTGTCCAAAACATTATGGGCCTGTTTGTTTCCCTGCACAAGGGTGGCTTGTATGGATGGCCAGAGACAGGTTGGGTTGCGTCGTGCTAACCTAGTGCGACTACTCATGTTTGTTTTCCATGTATGAAATGAGCAAGGTTGAAAATGACCGGTGTTTGTTAGACTGTATAGATAAATCTGCTTACCTTGCATCAGCTTATTTTGGAGTTACCACCATATCACATCTCTCTTCTTCCCTTCACCACACATCACCATTTCTCTTAGACATTTTCACAAACACCTTGCATGCAGGCTAGACAAGAAGCCACCAGTATGAACGTGCTGGCGTATGGCCATAGCGGTGAGGGCTTCAACCACAAAAAATGTGTGTATCATTTTATTAAGAAGAAGAGTTTAAACATACAGACAACGCGTCTCTATCGAGCGTCAAAGGAGGTCGACCTAAAATAGCCGTAGCCGGACCAACCTAGCAAAAGACCTCTAATTTCGATATTACATAAATAGAAAACAACCAAAACTGATGCAGCGGTGCGACCTAGGAGGTGGTCTTGCGTCTTCGCGGCTGCCTGGACGAGCCCTTTCCACCGCTCGGGAAGAGCGCGTCCAAGGCTTCGACGTTGGACGCAATTAGGCTGCCATCGAAGATCTTGTCAAAGGCCTCCAGCTTCGACGGGGATGGCGCTGATGGACTCTTGGTATAGCCCATACGCTGTATGATCAGCACCTCACCTCGCTTGGAAGCAGGTACTCGAGAGAGGCTCTGAGCCGCCAACCGCCTGCATCGCCATGGCAGCACCGGCTTAGCAGGAGGCTGCTTGGGAACTAAACATGTCTTGAGCTTGGTGAAGCTCCACGAATAAGCAGAGAGTCGACCTTCTTCAGCGTGCGCCTGGTGAAGCTCTTGAGGCGGCGTGCGGCGGAGCTATCGCTGACATCAATTGTGCGGTCCTCTCGAGGCGGTGTACAGAACATGTTTGCAACCGTCGCGGGCTCGGCCAGACCGAAGCTAGGCGGACCACCCACCTCGTCCTGTGTAGGCACGTCAGCTCCTGAGGTGCTCTGCGCGGCCTGAGGCGGCGTGACCTGAGACTGACCATGCTTGAGTAGCGGTGGAACCGAGTCCGCTGCTAACTGAGCGGGGTGCGAGACCATTGTTGAAGTGGCGCAGGTGCTCACACTGGTGGCTACGAACGAGGCTACAACCTCCTCAAGCATCGGGTCCTCTGATACTTCACATGTGACGTGCGTGGTGTCTGGGTATGGTGAGAGCAACAGCGGATCGAGCTCGGAGAGGCCCCATATATGGCGCGTCTCGCTGGTCGGCTCGTCGTGACCTTCCCAGGCAGCACGGTTGGTGGCGGCATTGGAGGTCGTTGTAGCTGTGCCGTCCCCCCTCGGCTATCGCCGATGTCTCCGGTGTCTCCGACATGGAGGCCCTCCACCGCCGTCTCCAGCAACAATTGGCGCAGCTCCAACCGCGCGGGGTGCGTGCTGGGAGGCCGGTGGGTTGCCGCCACAAGCGAGGTGCCGCGGTCGGTCGCCATCCTTCGTCGCAGATGCCACATCAGCATGCCTAGGCTGCCTGCAGTCCTTGGCGAGGTGGCAAAAGCCATGTCGGCCACAGAAACGCCCGTGGCAATCGGCAAAGTCGCTCATTTGGGTGCGAGTAGGAAAGGCAGTTGAAGCATTTGCAGTGAAGCTCCGCGGAAACCTTCCGGGTCTGCAGAGGTTGCTTTTGCATCGTGGTGAGGCTCAGCTGAAGCGGTCGCAGGTTGCACCTTCTGCCAGGGGAGGATCTCTCGCCACCCATTGGCGTTGGGGCGGAGACCCGTCCATGGCGGCCGAGGTGCTAGCGTGCCAGGATGCGGCCATCCACTGTCTGAACAGGCAAGCCGTATATACCACTGTAGGCGCGGGATCGCGCTTCCCCTTAGCGCCAAGACCACAGCCGGCTGCCTGCTGCCGCCGCTTCGGCCCCGAAATCACAATTGAACGAGTGCAGGTGCGCGGGCGGGACACACAACGACGGTGGCGTCCGGTGGTGGCGGGGTGGTCGTCGTCGGACTTCTCGCCGTCAACATCCGCCCACCGATGGTGCTTCGTGTGCCCTCCCACGGGGCCACCCGGGTAGAATGGAGCCGCGTCTAGAGAGAGGCGGGCGGCTGAGGCGCCAGGCGACCTCCCGGCTGCAGGCCGAGATCTTGGGTGGTGGTGGTGGCCATGCGTCGCTCTCCTCAGCACCACATCCCACGCGAGGGAGAGGAGAGGAGGGGGCGGACGAGCTCGGAGCAGAGCCACCCGTGGCAGCCGGCCCGCCGGGACCGCCTCTCCGGGGAGGGGTCGCCTACCCCAACCAGATCCGGACGAATCGGGAAGGCGTCAGTGGATCTGGACCAGATGAAAGCAGCAGGACGCCGTCTCCATGGCTCTTCTGCTCCGCTCCGCTGCGGTGGAGCCCCAGAGGCCCAGGAGTGACGACCAGCGGTGGGCCGCTTCGCCCGAGAGCCGAGCTCGCTGGGCCCACTGCCGGCGATGGGCGCCACCGAGTCCTCGCTTCGAGGTGGTGCTCGTCGACAAGGCGTCGACTCGGTGCTCTTCGAACTTGTCCAGCACGGCTCGGCGTCATGCTCGACCTCGCCTTGCGCAGCCTCCTCGGGCAGCGCCAGTTCTGCTTTCATGGCGGCGGTGCTGCGCGCCGAGTTCTCTGCCGAGGAAGGGAGTAGCACGAGGGAGAAGGAGGTGGGGATGGGGAGGCGAACGCCGGCTCATCTGGCGCCGGCGGCGACGAGGAGGGGGCGGCCGTCATGGCGGCGCCTTCCTTTAACGCGATGGTGCAGCTGGGTCGCCGTGGCCGGCCTCAGAGCGCAGATGGTGAAGGATGGGGGTGGAAGAAGGGAGAGGATGGGAGGGGGAGGAGGGGGCCACCGGCGCCGAGGACAGCAGGGTTTCGCCCTAACGGGTCTTGCGGCCCATGGCTCTGGGTCTAGTAGGCGGAGGCAAGGTTTTTTTATCGGCCAAAATTCACGGAAATTTCCGAAATTTCCATTCTATCCACGGGGTCCGATAAAATTTGACATCGGCCAAATTTTTCTCTTTTTTCCTACTCCCACACAGACAACCCAAATTCAGCCGTGCGACGGTCCCACACTATAAAAGTTTTATTCTTGTTTTTATCTGTGAACAAGTGATGTTTAATAGCTTAGGAATAATTTCAAGTCAAATTCTACGATTTTTTTTCAAAACAATTTGAATATTTTTTGAATTTGGTCCGATATTTTCGATATATCTTGCTTATCCTATTTATGCATGACCTCCGATAAATTTTTATTTCCGATAATGTGCTAGAAGTACTCTGTTTAAGTGGACTTTAGGTTATTTGGCTTATGAGGCCTTTCGATATCCTTCAACCAAGGCCTCATGAAGCGGAGGCACAGGAAGGACATGAGCAAACACGAGACGCTACAACTGAGCTTGCTCGGGCGGCGAAGGCGTAACACTGTGGTGCCCCTTGTGTTCACGTCGTGGTAGGAGGAAGAGCATGGGCTGCTGGTGAGCGCTCCCTGCCACGGCCTCCGTGACGTTCTCCTCCAGCGCAGCTGAGCCCAGGTGGCGGAGGCACTGCGCGGTCGCAGCCCTCGTGTCCGCACCGCCGCAAGAGGAAGGGCAAGGGCCACAGGTGAGCACCTCGTACCTCCGTCACGCTTTCCTCCAACGCTTTAGCCGATCCGGGCGACGGAGGCACGGCGGCCACAGTCTTCGAGACGCGTCGCCAGGATGAGGAGGAGGCACGGCGGCGTTGCGGATCTGTGCGGGCGGTGGACAGGCCGTGATGGTAAGGACTCGGGAAGAAGAAAAGGTCGCATTGGGTGAGAGTATGGGAGGTGACCACACCAATCGCTTGGGCATCAAAGCTGGCCAGGCCTAAAAGAAATGAACTCCAATTTCATTTCCTATGGTACAGGCTTTCGAGTGTTTGTGCCAGCCTGGCTCGCGAGGCCACCAAGGCTACCAAACATGCGTTGCTACAGCCCACGGGCCTAGCCCAGCGTTTGTGCAGCAAAACAAACAGGCCCGTATGGTTAGGCGTTCCGCACTGTGAGCTAAAGTTATTCCTGAAATGGAAAGAGAGAGTTGTGGCATCACTCGAGCCACTACCACTCAATCGCATCACTCGAGCCACTACCACTCAACCAAGGGACGAGAGACATGCCATGACTTTACTTAGGCTCTTTTTGTTCTCTAGTCCATGGATTAAAGTTTTAGTCTATTTTAGTTCATGAACTAGAAGTGAACTAAAGTGGTGTTTGGTTCATTGACCTAAAATAGATTAAAGTGGAGAGAGAGCAATAAACGAGGGGTATGAGTGTTCCCAACATCTTTTAGTCCAGTTTTGTGGACTAAAGGACTAAAGGTCTTTAGTCCACTTTTAGTCAAAGTGTTTGACTGTTTAGTCCAACTAAAATGCAGATTTTAATCCAAAATGCCTTAGTCTATGGAATCCAAACGCCCTCTTAATATATATCAGGTGGGCCTCTAGCAGTGCCGCACTGTCCACACGCTGTGACGTTTCTAGCATGATGCTAAAATCTTTTCTGTGGGGCCCAATTATTTTTGGCATCACTCCATGCCGTGGAGGGCCTTATGACCGAAGGTAGAACCACGAGCACTAGGAACGTATGGAATGGAAATTTACGCGAAATCATTTTCGGGAATTAGTATACATTGGATGAGAGAAACAAGACAGGCTACAAGGACGCATTTGATGGATGTAATTACGAACTAAATCCTCAACACAATGCACGCTGGTGATGCAGTATAACATCAACGTATGCCTTTACAGCTGGTTTCGCTAGGCATACAGATACACACACACAAGATCGACGATTGGTGTCATGGCAGCTAAGATATGGTGCGTCCGCCGTCAATGCAGATGACCTGGCCGGTCATGTACGACGCCGTCGGCATGCTGAGGAAGGCCACCATGGACGCCACCTCCTCCGGCTCGGCGATCCTCCCCATAGGCAGCCGTGCCATTTCATTCTTCACAAGCTCAGGGTCTATTGTCATCTGCTCAGTCATTAGAACTGAATTAATAACCGTCACTCTATTTACGAAATTGTAGCTTTCAACTTAATGGGTACGAAGGAAGAGAATTATCTGGAACTTACATCGGTGCTGATGTCAGTCTTGACGCCGCCCGGCGCGATGCACTTGACGCGGATGCCGTCGCGGGCCCACTCGGCGGCGAGGCTCCGGGTGAGCTGGTTCATGGCGCCCTTGGTCGTGGAGTAGACTGCCAGCGCTGGGAGCCCGACGAAGCCATCGATGAAGGACACGTGCACGACGCTTCCCCAGCCGGCGACGGAGGCATGCCGGAGGAGCGGGTGCGCGAGCTGGCTGAGGTGGAAGCACGACTCCAGGTTGGTCGCCATGATCCGCGCGTAGCCCTCGCCGTTGCACTCCGCCGCCGGCTTGAACAGCGTCTGCCCTGCGTTGTTCAAGAGCACGTCGAGCTTGCCACCGAAGGTGGCCGCGACGGTGGCCATGAGCTCCTCGCGGTCGCCGCGCACGGACACGTCGCAGACGGAGACGGTGACCTGCAGCCCCATCTCCTCCCACCTCCGGCGGCACTCCTCCAGCTCCGCCGTGTTCCGCGAGCACGTGTGCACACGCGCGCCGAACCCCGCCAGCTCCTCCACGATCGCGTGCCTGCCAGCACCAACACACGCTCGCACACGTACGTCAATGCATGTTATTGCACGAGCACTGATTGACACGAACGTTGTAGATCACACTGTGAGGTGGTCACATAGCGCACCCGATATGCCCTTGCTGCCGCAGGTGACGAGCGCCGTGGCGCCGGCGAGGCTCCACCGCTCCTCCCTGCTCCTGCCGCCGGCCACAATCTTACTTCTGCTCCTCCGTGCTCTTGCCACTAGTACAGAAACAGGCCGTACTTCCGGTTCTCAACTCCCTTCAGTCCCGGTTTTCGAACCGGAAGCATGAATTCGGAACTAAAGGGCCAATCCTTTAGTCTCGGTTTCGTGTCCGGGACTAAAGGTGGTTGGTAATAGCAACCGGGGCTAAAGAGGCCTCCCGACCTGGCCACGTGGGTCGGCTCTTTAGTCCCGGTTGGTATTACCAGCCACGACTAAAGGGTTTCTTTTTTTTTCTTTTCTTTTTGTTTCTATTTTCAATTGATGAATCGTTTTGGTTTTCGAATAGGTTTTCGAATACGCATTCTACGTTGCTAATAAGATACGTATTTTACACGTTTATAATGTTCGAACATTTTGTACAAACTAAAGAATAAAACTAACGTATATATTACTTTATGTACATATAATATGTATATATATATATATTACAAATAAATCTTGCATTGTATATTCTATCATATCATTGGGATAACAAATTCACTCCATCTGGTTTGGCTTCCATGTTTCGTTCATGTTATTGTACAACTCGTCGGCGGGGTTTAGGACTTGGTCATTAAGAAATCATGTTGTGGTCTCTTGAATTGCTTTCAGTTGGTCACGTCGTATGACTTTTTCCTTCAACCATAGAGTCTTCAATAAAAGTTAAAGGAAAAGTATTAATATATATATATATATATGTGTGTGTTGGTCACGTGATTACTTATATATATGAGCAATAAAAGAAATTGTGAATATATGAATATATTTATATAACGCACTTTGAGGTTCTCTTTAGGAGTTCTTTTTGAGTACGCCATGATGAACTCGCAAACATAGTATCCGCAGTAGTTGTTTCCCTGTTCTTGCCTCAGAACCCACTTTTATGAGAAAAAGATCCGGTGAATTGAAAGCATGCATGGTGTTAATTGAATTATATATATAAATATAGCTAGTACTTACTTTGTGTGCGATTACATCCAGTGGCGCTTTGCAATGTTTCATGTGGTGTTCCTCAATGAAATTTTTCCAAACACTGAGCCCAATAAAATAAAAAATTAATTTGGCCTTTAATAATTGTTACAGTTAAGAGATCGGGGTATATATAGCTGCTAGAGAGACCAAATTACCCTTGGATAATATCTATCATGTTTTGGTACTCTGTTTGTTCTTTTCTTAACGAGTCTAAGATGCTCAACTGACTATTGGCCATATCGATAACCATCAATATCCAGTAATTATTGTATATGTTTTTATACACAAATATGATCGACATTAACTAGAGTCAACATATATATATATATATGGGAGATAGCTTAGCTAGTAAGCAAATAATTGAATAAATGTCCATATGATCGACATTAATTATTTAACACTCACTTGACTTGGACAGCAAATATCTATCATGTTGCGATTGTTGTCCAAGTTGTGCAACACCTTTCCCTACTCTAGTCTTTTTCTGCGCCGCCTCAAATGACTTGGTGAGAGAGCGGTCGTAGTCCGATTTTGGCTGGGTCTTTTGAGATTCCCGCTTTTTCTGGTCCACCTTCTTTCTTAGAAGATCTGGAGCTAGGTAGAAGTACGGGTTCTCCGAGTTCTCCTTCGCTTCTTGTTGCTTTCTTACTTTTTCGAAGAAACTTTTCACATCTTTTTGTACTACATCCTTTAATTCCTTTTCACTTTTCTCGTAAGACAGTTTTTGGGGAATAACTGGATTAGAGCAGGCTTTCTTCTTTGCCAGCTGGTGGGCCAACGGCTACGTTTGCGAGGCGGACCTCTTAGGAGCTGGCTGCTTCTTGATCATCAAGGAAGGCGGGGCAGCCGTTGGAGACCTCCTTAGAGGCGTTGGAGACCTCCTTGGAGGTGACGGCGGTGGAGACCTCCTTGGAGGCGTTGGAGACCTCCTTGGAGGTGACGGCGGTGGAGACCTCCTTGGAGGCGTTGGAGACCTCCTTGGAGTTGGCGGTGGCGGCGTTGCATAATCATTGCCGGAGCACTATGATGATCTGGAGATTGAATAATTGGACTTAGGTTGGCGGAGGCCTGGCGTGTGATTACAAAAAGAATAATTAGATATAAGAAATTGTTATTATTAATCATGCATGTCAATAGAAAATTTATGAAAAAAAATTGTTTCGTTCACTTTTGTCCGCACCTATTGTGCAGCGGTTGAGGAAGCGGCGGTGGACTAGAGATCCCGGGAATAATGATGTAGCGCTTGCGCCATAGTATGAATGTCTTTTCTGCTTCTCCTAGAGTCATCTCCCCATCACCTCCTGGAATATCAAGAGCCAGATCACTAAAACCTTTGTTAACTCTATCCACTGAGACGCTAACATATCCAGGTGGTATTATTGCCCCATGGATTCTTGGTGTCTTGGTAGGATCTGGAGGAGAAAAAACACTGAGAGCCACCATGATTGTGGCATTCTCTTTTGGAATATGTAGCTCGCATGATGTAAACGGTGCAGTAATGTCATCCACGGGGAAACGTACCATTATGTCATCTTGATTTGGCAACTGCGTGGAAGAGCAGCTACTTTTCAACTGATCAGGGGGGCTAATATTAATGTTGATTCCTAGATCTGATGCCTGCCTTTGGGCACTCATTGCTATTTGCACTTGCTTTATGATTTCGTCCTACATTCTAGCTTGCATGTCTTTTTCACGCTCCTGTGCTTGAAGCAACGCCTCCCGTGACTCACGAACCAATTCCTCCAACCTACTGATCCGCGCTGCATCCTCATCCTTCCTTCTCTGCCGGCTTCTATAGGTATCTCTGTCATTAGGGAAACCATGCTCCCAAAAAATGTTTCGTTCTAAACCTCTCGTTCAGCCACTGTGTTCAGCGGTCCCAAGGGCATATGTCAGTTCATCCTTCTCTCTATTGGGCCTGAACGCACCAATAGCTTTAGCTTGTAGAGCATAAGAAAATCTTTGTGTTGCTCTTTCGAGTTTTGTGCCATGAACCAGCTTCCCGGTCTCTACGTCCAGTCTTCCCCCATGAGCGAAAAACCAATTCTTCGCACGTTTGGGCCAATTGAGTGATTACAGTGTGATATCCTTGGCAAGAATGTCCATTTCCATTTTTTCCCACTTGGGAATGACGATTCAGCAGTAGCCACCGATCCCATGCCATGGTGGTATACCTTATGTCGGGCATTCTCTTGGTTCCTTCTCACCCGTTCCTCACCCTCTTACGATATCTTGTCTTGTACAAAATCATTCCATGGGGCCTCAACTTCACGAGGCGGGCCACTAGTATTGAAATTGGGCGTTAGGTTCTTCTTGACGTATTTCGTGTATAGGGATTTCTTTCGAGTCTGAAATTGTGTGGCCATCTTCTTCATAGCCCATTTTCGAACTAGTTCCTTCAATTCATCATCGTTGATAGCATCATAATCATCCGCTTGCAAGCGTGAAATGTTGAAGGATATCATCCCAAATTAAATTCTTATCAAGACCAGGACACAAAACTAACATGAGGCTCGTTGATCTTTTGCTTTCATTCACGAACCTTTGATCGAAGTCTGTCCTTACATGGCACCACAATGATGTGCAATTTCCTTGCATGTGGACCAAGTGGTTCGCTTTGTCTTGATATTGAATTACGATATTATGTAGCACCCTCAATGGCTTTTTTCGGGCCTCAAATATTTTTGCTTTTCACCATTGTGGTCGTCGATCCAGAGGGCTGCGTATAAAAAAGAATAAATAAATATCATGTGTACACATAATAGATGATAGATATTCAAATATATATATATATAATATTCAAATATATATATAAATATATATACCTACGCCATTTTTACGGCACAATATTTTCTTGGTTATCTTCAAGAGCCAGGTATTGACTCTCGTCATCTACACCCAGCTGGTCACCATCGGCAAATTGAGTGCCGGTGTTGATAATATTCATCATTTCTTCATCCATGTTGTCTCTCGGGGTAGCCATCTAGCTTTTACACCACTAGATATATCTATAAAAAATAAAAACTATATCTATCAAATATCCATCAAATTCTAGCTTAAAAACATGTTTAAATAAATAACCATCCGTATTAGTTGACCTTGCTTACGTGATTATCTCGACGAGCATTTCTCCACCGGACGACATCCGTGCCCCCACGGAAGAGCTCCGATTCTCTGAGGAAGGGAACACGGTCTTCCACGACCGTTGCGCTCTCCCTCATAGAATCAAAGCTCCTCCTTGAGCGTCCGTTACCGCTTTCGGTAGAGAACATGCTAGCCGAGATGAACACGGTCCGCAAGTTCAACTAGTGCGGATTTTCTAATTTTCTAACTATTTTCTAAGTTTTTCATTTCATGAAAAAATTAATTCTAAAAATAAAAGGCATGATTTCTAAGTATTTCATTTCATGGAAAAATTAATTCTAAGTGACACCTTTCGACATCGGCGAGCTCATGGACGTTTCATGGAAAAATTAATTCTAAGTGACCTTACTTGCGATAAAATTGAGAAAAAACACACGCTCTCATGACCTCACCACGCTTCTAAGATCACGTAAGCTTCCGTACTAGTTGACCTTGCTTACGTGATCATCTCGGCGAGCATTTCTCCATCGGATGGCACCGTGCTTAGCCACGGAAGAGCTCCAATTCTCACGAGGAAGGGAACACGGTCTTCCACGACCGTTGCCGCTATCCCTCGTAGAATCAAAGCTCCTCCTTGGCGTCCGTTACCGCTTCGGCGGAGAACATGCTAGCCGAGATGAACACGGTCCACAAGTTCAACTAGTATGGATTTTCTACAATTTTCTAATTAAATGCAGCCAAGGAGGTGGAGGTATGCCCACCCGAGTCTCCGAGAACTTCGTGCCCTTCTACTACAACATCCGACGCCGTCGAGCGTCCCTCGGATATGGTTGCAAGGCGTCATCATAAGCTACCGCGCCCGTGCTCCCCTGAGCTCGATGGCTCAGCACAAAATCGCATTACAAGATTGCCGGC